TCTCTGAGCCAGAGAGATGTTTGATAAGAGGATCCCTGAAAGAATTTCCTACCAAGGTCATTGACATGGAAACCAAGAAATAAAGGATAAATAAAAGAAACATGCAACTGTCGATTCCAATAAGCACTTCGTTTGTCTTTCCTGACCAATGAGTAAAGTGTAAACTTATGAGTTTTGTAAAAATGTATAAAAAGCATGCATACTATAATAAAAACCAGTTTGAAGCCTCCTGAAAATGGAGTGTTGCTTTGTATTGTGACCATCTCAACTATGACATGGGAGTATCTGAAAAATACTGAAAAAACTGGTTTTGGAAGGGGTATGTGTTTTTGTGCTTGTGGCCACAGTGTTAGTGCTAGAGTCAAAGTTTGTGAAGCAAAGCTTATGTCTGGGAAATGTACAACAAGTTACTTGCTCTTTGTTTTGCAGTCTTCAAAAATAGAATAAAAATACAGAAAAGTAAACATTAATATTTTAAACTTTAATATTTAAAAGTAAACTTTAATATTTTTGCTTTCTTATCTTTGTATTTTATAAGCAGGTAACATACAACACTCAACCACATCCCCATGCCATTAAAGTATCTGCTCATTCCACTTATTAATTTGCAAAATTTGAACATACTTTTGCATTTCAGAAAACTTTTTATGAAACTGTAGCTACCTGCTAAAAGTTTCCCATATCCCCACAGAGACATTCTTTAGTGGTGTGACTGAGGTGTTCCCAGCTTGGTATTGACTGAAAAAGTGCAGTCCTGCTAAGTGCTATACATCTTCTATTTTTTGTTTAGTCCAGGGAAAGCTGAAGGCAAGACAATAACGTGGTGGCACTTTTTCCTTTTCTGTATGTAAAGAAAAACTGTAATATTTTCACAGTCTGATTATTTTTCAGAAACCTGCAGGTTTTATGTGCAGTTGAATAAGCTGAATATTGGCAGCACTTAAAAACACAGGTTATTTAATGCAGATAAGTAAAGTGCTGATTTTACAAACAGTTTCCTCTTTTTAAAAAATGTGCAATGTGTTAAGGTTTGTTTTTTTTTTTAATTATTTTCCCCTCAACTATATTTTACTATAAAATTGCTCTAACAAAGCATCCTAGATTCTGGCTGGAGTGCAAGTTACTAACAAACATAGATCAGTCCTTTGGATCCAGGTGCTGTATAGGAGAGTTGTGCTTGCATTCAGTGAAACATCTGTTTGCCAGACTTGGGACCACCTAGGTTAACAATCAGCCTATGTTATGCTCCTGACAGAGATTCAGTTGTCACCATCCCTGGAGGTATTTAAAAGACATGCAGATGTGGCACTCGGGGACATGGTTTAATGGTGGACTTGGTAGTTCCGGGTTAATGGTTTGGACTGGATTTTAATAAGTAATTCTCTGATTCTACCTCTGCAAACCTTGAAAATTCAGACGATGAACTTATGGTTACTTTTGTGACTGAGAAGAACCCTGCCTGAGGGGAAATAAACCCTTAAATTAAATATTACTTTATAATATTTCATATAATCCTATAAATATTCAGGTTGGAAGGGACCTCTGGATGATATCTAGGACAATATCCTGCTCACAGCAAGGCTACTCTTAAATTAAGGTTGCTTGAGGGTTTTTCCACTCAAGTCTCTGTGGAGGGAGATTCCGTAGCCTCTCTGGACCTGGCTATCCTCCAGGTGAAATTTTCTGTCCTTCTCTCAATACAAATCCTGCCTCTGTCTTTTCAGTAAGTTCCTTGTCAGTATTGTCAGGCTGCCCATTATTCCAGCTTGAAGAAGTCCTAGGGCCCACAGCCTCTCTCACATGGTGAGTGCTCCAGCCCCATGATCATTTTAGTGCACTCAGCAGAACTCACTCCAATTCATTAGGAATTTTCCATATCAGGATTGTTCTACTGGAGACCCCAAAACTGGATATCACATGCCACATGCAGTCAAACAAGAGCCATGGTAAGGGGAAGTAATCACTTCCCAGTCATGTCCTGATAGTTCGCGGGATCACAGAATGGGTCAGGTTGGAAGGAACCCCAGTGGTCATCTGGTCCAACCTAAAGCAGGGTCCCCTAGAGCATATTATGCAGGGTTGTGTCCAGATAACTTTTTGAATATCTCCAGGGAAGGAGACTCCACAACCCCTCTCAGCAGCCTGTCCCTGTGGTCAGTCATCTGCACAGCGAAGAAGTTCTTCCTTGTGTTCAGGTAGAACATCCTGTGCATCAGTTTCAAAGAGCCCATTGCCCTTTGTCGTATTGCTCAGCACCACCAAAAAAAGCCTAGCCCCATTCTTGTGATGCACTATATACATTGAATGTTGGAACCCCGGATGCTGAGAATAGAGCTACTTTCTAAAGAACTTAAAACCAGAACAATCAAATTAAATTCAGGTTCTCAAATTCTTTATTACAAAACTTAGTAATTGCCTGAGGTTTGCTGCCATCCACAGGCTATTTTTGTTATAATTGCAAAGAAAGTGTTTCACTGTGGACAGCACTGCTACAATAATATTGCTGCAATAATATTCTTAAGAAAGATCTACTCTTGTCATTTTGTATTGACAACACAACATAAAATGAACAAGTACGTTGTTATAGTATGCTGTTGTGGAGCAGGACATGGACACCAAATTCTGCATTGGAGAACAGGTAAGTGGAAAATAAACTAATTCAGTGTAAGGTTTTGGTATGGAAATATGAGGTTTTTTCACCCATCTAAATCATAATTTCCTTTTGGATGAACCCTCTGTATGTGGGCTTGATACCAAAGAACATGTTGTGTTTGACTGTGTGAGAGGAAAAGATTAAAAAAACATAACACTCTCTCTCCCCATATATATATACTTGTCAGACCCTTTTCCTGACCCAGAGATGGGGCAACTGAGAGGTGTTTTTAAAACTTTTATTCCATTTTCAGTCTCCTGAGAAGGGTGAAACCATACAGATGTTATAATGCACACCATCACAATCAGAAGCCAACTATTTCCTAGTTACAATACACTATAAGTGTTTCTTGCCACGCCTATCAGCTTTTTGCCATGCCATGCTGTAGATGCCTTAAAGCCAATCATCTACAACTACCCCTCATGGGTCTCACTACAATGCATCTTTCATAGTTGTATTTCTCCAAAGTATCTAATCTTATTTGCAAGATTAGGTGGCCATCTTTTGAAACTCTCTTCTAGCTCCATTTCTCTCTCAACAATATCTGTCCTATCCCATGGCATTTCCAAGTCAGAGTTTCTTGTCTCAAAGTTTGCATACTGTGTGGGCCTTCTGTCAGGCCCTGAGAACTCTCTACAGATCCACTTCCCACATATTCTGACTTTTATTATGAAAGTAAAATTGATCTTCAGGAAGGACATATTTTAATTGCTTCAGGCAAGGTGAATCAAAATAGAATACTAATTATTTATACTGCAGCAAGGCACATGAAAAACAAAGAGGCTGCTATTTTCTGAATGCAGCGAGCAAAGAGTAGTTCCTGATCTGGCCTCGGTGTTAAGAATTTGTCCCACCCGTCAGTTTGTCCCATTAGGAAACCACCTAATGGCAGAACAGGAATGTAAACTACCACCAAACCTAAACATAACACTCGTGCAAACTCTTAAGCAGAATAAAGAAATCCTGGGTGTGTTGTGAAAACATCTTCCCGGACAGCGGCCCTGAGCCCTTCCTTGCACCTCATTCATTACCTAGGGTGTTCCTTTGCACAAGACCAGTTGCACAGAAAATACCCAAACTCTTGTTTATTTTAGTTTGAACACGAGAGCGGTTTGGACATGAGAGGGATGAGGTGGAGGTTTCACACAGAAGCACCCTCCTGGCGAAATCCCCTCATTTTGCCGATTCGGAGAGTTTGTGCGAGATGCGTTGAGACAAACACGCACGAGCGGCTCGGGACCCGCACTGTGGGTGCCCTCAGTGCGCTCGCTACTAGAACCGGCAACACTGTGCGAGAGGTTCTGCGTCTCGCCTGGGACAACTGCTACCCAACGCTCCCCAAGCGGAGATCATGAAAATCGCAACTTGAGGCGACGGCACGAGCAATTCTTTTTTGAACGTTTTACAAAAAGTTCAGTAGGAGAGTCCTGCAGAGGGAAATGTAAACAGAAAGGGAAGAAAGGAAAGCAGAATCGCAGAAGAAGGAAAAGCGTCCCATTTAAAACCGCAGGAAGGCTGGAAAGGAGGGAGCACAGGGAAAAGCGACTCCACAGTGAAGAGCGTTCCTTACGTAAGGCAGTACAGCGTGCCAAACGCGCATGCGCACAGGGGGCGGGGCTCGCGCCGGGGACCGCCCCTCTCTCGCGCACGGAACCCACGCCGGCGGCGCTGGCAGCCACCCGGACCGCAATCGGCGCTGGAGCCGGCAGCCGGACGGCAATCAGGGCGGAGCGCGCCCCGCTGGCGCACGCAGGGTCGGTGTCCCGGCGGGGCGGCTCCCGCTCCGCACGCAGGGTCGGTGTTCGGTGTCCCGGCGGGGCCGCTCCCGCTCCGCCGCCAGGGACGGGCGCCGAGCGGGGCTGGGCCGGTCAGTCGGTCCGTGCCGCCGCCGGCATCAGGCACGGACGGCCTTTTGAGTTTTGCCGGCCGCGCTCTCTGCAGGCTTCCCCCCGCCGGGGCAGGCGGCGGCGTGGGCGCCTCCCCAGTTTTCCGCAGCGGGTGACGCGGCCCGCCGCGGGTAGGGGAGCCGGGGCTCGGGCGGCGGCGGAGAGTGTGGGTCCGGCCGGGGCGGCGGGTGTCGGGCCCGGGCCGGGGAGAGCGGGGCGGGAGGGCACCGGCTGCCGGGCGCTGCTGCCATTGGCCGACGGCCGCGGGCCCGCCGGGGCATTGGGCGGCTGCCCCGTCAGTCACGGCGCTCCCGTCCCCCCGGCAACAGGCGGGGGGCGGGGTAGGACCGGGCCCGAGGGCTCGATGCGTCCCCGGAGCCCTCGCGGGTCCACGGCCCAGGGTGGCGGCCCGAACCCTGCCCTGCCCTGGGGGTGAGCCTGGCTGGACTCTGGCGTCTGCGGGCCCTGCTGCCGGCCCGGGCCCGGGCCTGGGCCTGGGGCGGGGGTGGGCCGTCACTCTCGGGCCCTCGACTTGCGTCGCGCTGGGTGTCCCGGGGGTGTTTTCATTACCTTCTGACTCTCCCTTTTTCTCTCCTTTCTGCCCTCCTTTCCCAGGCTTCGTGCGTGGGGGTTTCTGGGTTTGGTTTGGAGGGTGTTTTTATTTTTTTTATTCCCGAAGTCGGTGAGATCATCATGCCGGGAGGCTGTGGTGTGACAGAAATGCTAAATAGCCCTTTAGCTCGGGGAGGCTTCCTCAGTTAAACTCCGTAGTCGCCTTGCAATCAGGTGGTAATCTTTCAGAAAATGAGTACCTAATTGAACCGGAGTAGTTTTTCAGGGAAACAGGCTGAAACTCAAAAGCATAAGGTATATATTAAAAAATAGTCGTAAACCTTAAAGAATAGGCTAGAGTCATCATGAATGAAGATCTAAAGGAGTAAGTCTTAGGTTGAAAATGCTAGAAAACATAAGCTGTTGGCATGCGACCCTTACCTCTTTGCAAAGGACGAGTAGTAACCCAAGTCATAGGATTTTGACTTCAGTGTTTTGCATTTTACTAGTTAATACCCTTCAACTTGAAAATACCCAGAAATATTCTAGTGTAATGTACTTCATTTTTTATATAGTTAATACCCTTCAACTTTAACAACTCTATAACATTTTAGGTGCCAAAGTACTTATTTTGATGGCATTTGGTAAATAGGGATAGTAGTTGTCATCCATGGAGTTATGTTAAACAGATGGGACAACGGAGCACTTCACACTCCTTGCTGTTTCTAAGTGAGTCATTCAAGGAGTGTGACTAATCATCCTACAGTACAGTTGTCAACAAAAGAGTATTTTTTTTTTCCTTAACTACCCACAGAATCGAAGAGATTTCCAGATTTTCTGTGGATAACTGATATAACTGATAACTGAAGAACCTCTCTTTGAACAACACTTTAAATTTAGATTGAGGGGGACTACATGTGATGGACATTTTATCTTAAGAATATATGTGGAATTTTTCTCTGTGGAGCAATACAGTGATGTACCTGGGAAGTCAGTGAACTTAGAATGGTCATTGTTGGGCAAGCAGCCACATGCTGTTTTAAGGCGTTTGTCTAAATAGCTTAATGTGAGACTGAATTAATTTTATCAATCCTTCCTCTCTCCCCCTCTCCCTGCTGCACCTGTGTCAAGTTGTAAGTCCTCTGGGACACAGGCACTTCAGTATTCAGTGCAGTCTGGGTTGGGGATTTTCATGGTAATAGTATTAATTAAGTAATTTTCGTGATGGGTATTGCCAAGGTAATGATAGTGTGGGCTGAGGTTGGGTGGGAACTGCTTTTGTTGTGAGGAAACTGGGGTAGTAAGAGGAAGAACTGGATGAGAAATTTGTGTTTAGAAGTGTGATATGAGAAGTGACCTGATTTGAACACAGCCCTTGTGGGAAATCAAAGTCAGCAGTTATCTACAGCTTGTGAGGCTGAGCCAAGATGACAACATTGATTAAAAAGAAAAAAATATTATGGGAATGGAAAATGTCTTGAAGGGAAGATACTCAGATTTAATTTCTTTTAAGTTGAATGAGTTAGAGCTGGGAGAGAAGATTTTAAATGCATCAAAATGTAGTGTTGGACACAGGAGGGGAAGATAGTTGATTTGGAGGAAGTGTATTTAGAAGTGCAGTTACCTGGGACAGGGGCTGGTGGGGGTAAGTAACATGAGGTGTGGAAATAATGCAACCAAGGATACATCAGAATGGACAAGAACGTAAGAAAGGTATATTAAATGTATGCCAGCTTCTGCTGTTGACAAATACATTTTCTGATTTTTTTGTATCTGTTTGCAATATTGATAAAGATTTGATCTTTTTAAAATGTATTTCTAATAGTTGGTTTAGTCTGATTGTTGTCTCATGACCTGTCCTGTGAAAACTAATTATTGATCAGGAGTGTGCTTAGAATGCTGTTTTCTGTGTTTTTGCTGTAATCTAAACTTGAAGTGACTTTTATGTGTGTGTAAATTGACAAAAAGCAAACAAATAAAACAAACACATTTACCCACATGCAAGCAGATTGGTGCAGTGAGATTGGGGCTTTTTAGCCTGATAATCTCTGTAGAGAAGTGTTCTCTTTTTTTCAGGTGTCTGCCTCAACAGGTGTTACAGGTGCCTTTTGTTTAACAGGAAGGTGAATTGAAAGGACACTTTATCATCTTTCAAATAGAGAGTGGAAGAACAGGTTTCCTTTAGAAAATAGGAAAGCTGAGGAGTGGTCTGAGGATTGAGTCCTAACCAAAGGGAGGAGGTAATGACACAGAAATCAATGGAGATGATGCCTCTTTGACACTGGAAGGCTATTCTTGCCTTCTAACAGTGTGGTCCCACTGGTTCAGTATTTGGTACGCGATGAAGAACTGTGGCAAAGGTACAGCCCATCCCTTTTACTGCGTATTCTGGAGATGGATGTCTCTTTGGTAGCTAATCCTTGGATTAGAGAATGTAAGGAAAATACACAAATAATGTAAGAATGTCAGAAGAGTCATTCCACCAAAAATCTTTAGGCTGTACACTATGGGGGTGATATTACCAATGAAAATACTAAAGTAGTCTTATGTTGGGGTAGTCACAAGTCTGTACTGGGTAATTGCAGTCCAATAATCAGAAAACCATGTTTTTCACTATACTTCAGATTTTTAAATACTCCCCACTGCTGTTGTATTTTGCTTGAGAGAAAGGACATAAATTTTATGTTAATTCCTTTAACTTTCTAGAATATCACTATTTAGCTAAAAAAAACACCCCAACCTGTCATTGCATTTTTATTTTAAAGTTGCCATACCAACCAGTATGCCCTTTCAGTGAGGAAGGGAGTTTGAAACTATTTTTCAGCAAGCTACAAGTATTTCTATATTTGAATAATAAACTATCGTGTTGTCTTGGCAAATAACATGGAGCTTGGTTCACTTTAATTATCTTTAGCTATTAATAAACTAATTTATTTGAAAAATGCTGGGGATGTTTTACTGCAAATTAGGTAAATACTTCCTGTAATTCCTGGGCAGTCTAATCTTCTGTTTTTATCCAGGACAGTTTGGCATTATCATTATGGATCGCTCCCGACACCGTGCGGGAAATGGCAATGAGCAGGTGCCTTCACGGGAGCGCAGCGGTGAAGGTGAGAGACAGCGGCAGCTGGAGCGCCTCGGCAGAGAGGAAGCGTATTACCAGTTCATTAACGAGCTCAATGAGGAGGACTACAGGTTAATGAGGGACCGAAACCTGCTTGGCACTCCTGGTAAGATGTGCATACTTTCAGTACAAGAGGTGTAGTGAAGTAACGCTCTTGCTGTTAGCCACCACCTGGAGTACTGTGACTCAAGCAGCCTGACTTCTGTGGCTTTGTAGAAAGGGAAAAATTCTCCATATGGAACAAAAGTATAACACTTTACCTGTATACCATATTCAAATATGCTGCATTTGAATGTCCAAACCCAGACAATTAACATTTGGTACATTCAAGTATATCTATTGATGTGTGGCAGTTTTGGGGCCCCTGAATTGTTACTGGAAGTTGGCATACTCTCAACACATTCAGCATCTTATTCTTCCACTCCACTACCTACTTCCTCTGATATCTGCATTATGATCTCGCATTAGTGCTATTTTCTTTCTGGTTTCATCAATTTTGTCTGTCTTCTGAAGATTTTAATTCAAGATAGAAAATGTTACTTCTGCATGGCTGTATAGAGGCAGTATTAGTGTCTTATCTAACGGTGTTATCAAAATGTAAATTAATTCAGGAGAAATAACAGCAGAAGAGTTGCAGCAACGTTTGGAGGGGGCTAAGGAGTGTCTGACATCGCAGTCTGATCTGGATAACAGAGAAGGTGAAGGTAGAACTGTTGGAGGTAAACATTCTTCATTCCTATATGTAGACATGTAGTATGTGGTGCATAAGTAGAGTTCTGTAAAGATATTTGAGACTCACTTATCTTTCATTTTTTTTTTTTTTCAATGTGCCTCTCGGGACTGTTTAAAAATAAGAGCTACAAAACCAAACTTAAAGTACTTGATGAGAACTTGTTTATGTTAATCACAAATTACTTGCTCCTTTTTCCCTCATTTCCTTTGCTAGTAAATGTAATAGCACAAAAATTACTATTTTTTTTCAGTTCTTAGAGGTTTTTATCACGTATTAGAGCAGTTGGAAAAGAAGTTAATTGGAAAACAGTTAATCTCTCCACTGTTTTGACACTTTTGTTGTTTCTTTTCCATTTGTTTTAGTCAAGTGAGGCTGGTGCTTTATGCACTGTCTTCAGTTCCCCAGAAATACTGGCTTACTCATTTGGCCAGTTCTAGTCAGTTTTGGGAGAGGAATTGGCAGCTTAGAAATGAAGATACCAAAGTTCTTGGAGGGGAGGTTTCCTGGACACAGAGAGATAATGGAGTAAGGAGAACTGAATCTGATCCCTTTAAGGGAAAATTTTCACTGTGATCATGACAACTGGCCTGCTTTATACACATAGTTAGCCCTAACCACAACACTTATATCTGTTCCTGAGCATGTAGTTGGAGAAGGTTTGAAAAGGGAGCTGTGGGTATTGTCATAGGAAAAGAGTATATTTGCACAAAAGGAGAAAATCTGTTCAAACCATGTATCCCACCCAGATACATTCCTGTGTAAGCTGCTCTAGGTGACCTTGCCTTGGCAGGGGAGTTGAACTAGATTATCTGCAGAGGTTCCTTCCAACCTTAATGATTCTGTGATCATTTATTCCACTGGTTAAAGGAAACACTTAAAAAAAAAAAATTCCAAAAGAAGACAAGACTTGTTATTCCTTTTCCTGCTGTATCAAAATCAGTTGTTAAAATATTCCGAAACAGATAGCTTCAGCAAGGGGCACGTATTGGACAAATACAACTGTCTTTGGACACCCTGAATTTGAGCACTGGCTCAGAGGAGACCATCTGAGCATATTAATTTCTCTCTGAGTCTGTTAGTGAGACAAAAATTCTAGGTTGAACTGGTAAGTTTTGCTGACATTTTTACATAGAGCACATTTTTGTACATTAGCATAGCAAGGTAGGTGCCCTGCTACTATATTGTGTCTGAAGTCAGAGTCTAGCAAGTGAAGAGGATTTGGAGTGCATTGCAGTATGCAGAGCATGCAGTTGTATGAATGTTTGCAATTCTTTGTTTCTTTCAGATTCTGAAGTTCTTGGGGAAAACTCCAATGGCGACTCTTTGCTTGAATGGCTCAACACATTTCGTCGCACAGGAAATGCCACTCGCAGTGGGCAGAGTGGTAACCAGACCTGGAGAGCTGTGAGTCGAACAAATCCAAACAGTGGGGAGTTTCGCTTTAGTCTTGAAATCAATATAAATCACGACCATAACAGTTTTGAAACTTCTGGTGAGGAGTATGTTGATATAGATGCCACCAGACTGTATGTAGAAAGAAGACGTCAGCTAGTTGCCGGTTCAGCAGCCCCACGGACAAGGAGCATGGCTGCAAGAGAGGCAAACAACGAAGCTGCAAGGACCAGGCTTTTAAGGCGTGCCATGGCATTAAGGTCAGAAATAGTTTCTCATGCAGTCTCGGGGAGGCTCAGGAGTAGAACGAGGGAGCTGACAGGCCAGACAAATAATACTACACGAAATAATTCTGTGGCTGCTGATGAACCAAGAGAAATACCAGAAAGAGGTACTTCTGCAGCAGTCAGAAGGGGTAGAGCTAGAACTAATGTCCGGACTAATACAAACCAAAGACTAGAAATTTTGCGACTGCGGTCTACCCTAAGTAGTCGAAGCCGCTCCCCGCTGCAAAGGCAAGGTGATGCTGCTCATTCCGAAGAACGTGGTCAGAGGCAGGATAGAAATGCACATCAGGTCAACAGAAGTAGGAGACAAACAGCTCAGGCTTCTCCACAGCTTACTGAAGAGCAAGCAAGAGGTAACACTCAGGCTCCCCAGCTTTCCAGTGTAGCCCCATCCTTACGAACAACTTCAGAAGAGGAAGAACCTAGTAGGCCAGTAGCTGCTTCCAGAAGGCACCCGACAATTACGCTAGATCTTCAGGTGAGAAGAATTCGTCCTGGAGAAAACAGAGACCGGGACAGCATTGCCAGTAGAACTCGTTCCAGAGTAGGAATGTCAGAAAACACCGTTACCTTTGAAAGTGACAGTGGGGGATTTCGGCGCACGATATCCCGCTCAGAACGCGCAGGTATTCGGACCTACATTAGCACTATACGGATACCTCTTCGTCGGATTTCAGAAACTGGGCTTGGGGAACCTTCATCGGTGGCTCTTCGATCAATCCTTAGACAGATAATGACAGGCTTTGGAGAACTGAGTTCTTTAATGGAAACTGAATCTAATTCAGAAGTGCGAAGAGGCGGTCATCACTTGGCAGATGCACAGAATAACTCAAGTTCAGCAGATGGCAGTGATCCAAGTGGGGTTTTGTCTAGAAATGGACATGCAGTAGATGGTAGCAGGGAAAGAAATAGACAGAGGGGTGGTGGTCAACGCTCTGGGCGCAATCATGAGAGCCAAGATAGCAGGCAGTCTCAAGATGCAAACAACTTAGTGGAGAACGGAACACTGCCCATCCTTCGACTTGCCCACTTCTTCCTGCTGAATGAGGATGATGATGATGATCGTTTAAGAGGTTTAACCAAAGAGCAGATTGACAATCTTTCTACACGGAACTATGGGGATGTTCACACTGAAAATGAATGGAGTAAAACGTGCAGTGTTTGCATTAATGAATATGCAACAGGGAATAAGCTAAGGCAGTTACCTTGTGCGCATGAGTTTCATATTCATTGTATTGATCGCTGGCTTTCTGAAAACTCCACCTGCCCAATTTGTCGGCAGCCAGTTCTGGGGTCTAATGCCACAGATAATGGCTAGAATTGTTTGTACTGCTCAGCACTTAAGGATTTACTCCTGCTCTGTTATGAGCCAGATGAAATTCATGACTTAGATATGGGTCCATTTCTGGGGGGAGTTTTGTTAAATTTCTTCAAAAATTATAGAAACTTATCTAAATCTAACAATGTAAATATTATTTTTTCCAAGTGCAGGTCTAGGAGCACACATAGAACCAAATGATATTGGTAAAGTTTATATTTTTTTAGGTAATTTTGTTATGCTAAGCACTTTTGTAAATACAGAAATGCAATAGTTAATCAGTCCTGCTTAATGTATGTTTTTTAGCATTGTAATGGACTTACTTTATTTAGATTACAAAATGTTTCACACAGACCCACCACTGTGTTGAAAAATTAGTGGCTAAATAGCCATTTGTTAGCTTTTTGTTCTAAGAACAATTTCTTTTACAGAGAGTCTCTTGCTGGACATGTTTGCTAAAGATATTTAAGTTACTTGAAGTGCTCATTTTAATACTTTTTTTTTAAACATTGAAATATCCTTTCCAAAAACTTGCCAATTTGGTTCTATTTAAAAAATTCAATGGCAATTTTTGCATGTGGGTTTACACAGTTCTTAATGTTGATGAGTTCTTATTCAGAAGTGAATGAGTTAGTGGCATTATGAAATGTATATAATTAAATGCTGTCTTTGACAATCTTTGTCTTTTCAGTGCAGACAGCAATCAAATCTGATAATTCCAAGGGGGTGTGTCTTACTTGCTCAAAGAATAAATGAGCACTAAGGAAGACAAGGAAGCCTTTTTACTCTTCCAAATTAATCAATACTCCTGGGGTTTTAATTGCCTTAGTTTAAAGAGGGGAACATCTCCTTGACCATTATACAGTCTATAATATGCATGTTTTGGGCATCCTACTCAGAAGAACAAAACAAAGACTTGAAATGCTTTTGTATAGAATGTTAAGGTACACATGTAGTGTTAGTCCTCTTGAAACATGCCTGAGGACCAAGTGGCAAAAGACACTAAAAAGGACAAACTAAGCTTCCCTGAAAATCCCCAGTATCTGTATAATTAGATATTAAACTTTATACCAATGACTTACACTGAAATAAAGTTGCAAGTTAAATAATTGAAGTTTTATGTGAATTACTGTTGAGCCACATCCTGTAGATTAATAAGAAAACTTACTATTCTTAATGTTCAATCTCAGTTTTTCCTTTTTTCCCCCACTTTTCCCCAGCTCTATTCCTGGCCTTTTAGTTACTATGATACATAAAAGCCCAGCAGAAAACGCTCCAGGGGTTTCTAGGAAAAGCTGGGTGTTACCAAGCTTGTATTCTGAGCAACCTGCATCTCAGTCCCTGGAGAAATGCAGAATTGTGCACTAATCTGCTGTGTGGGTATTCTGAGCAGTAGAAAGAGTACTTGAAGTGAACAAGTACTGCCTTTCTCTGCCTGCAGATAGTGGCCTTGACAAATATGCTTCTGTGCCAGGTGCGTCACTTGGAACATCTGCTCATGATATCCTTGAAGGGTAGCTATAAAATCCCATGTGACTGGATGTCTGCTTCAGTTCTGCAAGTGGAAAACTTGTGTCATAAATTCAACAGAAGGGCTCATTTTCATTCCTGAAAGTAGTTCTGAAAAACTCTGATATGAGATTTAGATGATTTAAGGATATGATTAAGATCTATTCTGATGTAATTTGTGCTGTTAATTACTGCAAAGGTTGTTGACCCCTCCCTTGAGTGTTTCCTTAGCTGCAGTAAAGAGTGAGGAGATTTAGATGTGATTATAAGAGCTAGCTTTTTTTTTAACTTTTTTTTTTCTTGTACTTCTGTTAGTTGCTGAGGCTGACAGTATATAAATGCATACATGTATTTTGTCACTTCCTTGTTTCTTTATGACTTTTATTTTTGAAATCTGACTGATTGAAAAGACGCATACATAGAAACCTACCTTTGGCTCACTCTTGCCTTGCTGGTCAGGTCCTTCGAGGTCAATTTTAACTAATTCTTAAAACTGCTACACTAATGCATTAGAGATGAAGGGAGATTGCCTGTGCCTTTTTTCCATTAAAATTTTGCTGTGTGTAAGAGCACGGTTACATAGCTCAAGATGAGATCATCTGTGACAAGGTACGTTTAACTGAGCTGCTAAGAAGAATATAATAGTACAGAAATTGTAGGCTATGGGAAAAGAAACTTTAAGCTTCCACTATTATATTCCTGCCCTTTCACATGAGAGGTGTCAAGTATTTCCCCTCTGTTGAGTAGCATGTAATTTGTTACTCGGCTTTCCCAAGATACTGTGTTAATGGCACCAATTATATCATAGTGATTCAGTTTGGTATTGGCTTCTGTTACCTCCATTTCTGTGATAAAACTTCAGTTCTCTGCCACCCCCGCTCTCCAAACACTTTTTTATACCTTGTCCTTTGGTGAAATTACGAAACATAATTTATTTTTATGGGAATAAAGAGAAAAATATGGGCAGAATTTTTACAAGCAAGTTTCTTTAAAATGAAATATTAAATGAAGTTCAACTGGTAGCAAAGCCTTAATGTAAAAAATTACCTAGAGAGCTGCCTTAAACATGATGCCTGCAAAGATAAAGAGAAATACCAGGCTGAATTTATAGGGTTTTCTATTTCTGATATGTGTGATACTATCAGTGTTTTTCTAGCTGATATTATGGTCCTGTATGTCTCTGTAATAGTATCTTCTTTAATAATATATCACATAGGAGTGGATTCCTGTGTTGCCAAGTAACATACAACAATTAGCAACGTGTAAATTTGGAAATATAAAATGAAACAGTAAATGATAGCAGGTTATATTCTGCCACTTCATGCTTTTGCCTTGATGGGAAATAACTATTTTGCTTTTAAAAAGAGATGCCACTTCCCCATGCCCAAGCTCCTGCTGAAGTAACCCTGTGCAGTTATCTGGTAACTACCAATTGACTGATCAGAACCCAGCCAACCTGACCACAGGACAACTAGGAAAGATGTGGGGCAGGGCAGGACATTGTGCAACTGTGTGAGGGTATGGTGGACCAAGCTGGTAATCAGAGTGTGCGAGGTGATTGTGGGCAGGAGAAACCTCGTAACAGAGTTGCAGTGGACTCACTCCAGGTCTGTTCACACAAATAAGCAGGCCCTATGTGCCGGTATGGTGGGCAGATACTTTTCTTTCTCTAGGAAATCGGCATCCCAAGTGCTGGTCTGCAGAAAGCAGGTAGGGAAGAAGCAGGAGGAATCAGGTCTGTTTGCAGTTCAAAGGCAGTGATCTCATCAGGATCACAGAGACCTGGTGGGATAGCTCACACACAGCTGGAGTGCTGCAGTGATGGATATAGGCTGTTTAGGAAGGACAGTGATGGGGAGGAGCTGCCTTTTGAGGCGAGAGCAGCAGGAATGCATGAGCTCTCTCAGGATGGATGAGGAGCCAGCTGAGAGCCAGGTCACAAGTAGCAGGCAGACCAGCATGGTCCTTGTTCTGGTAGCTGTCTGCTACAGACCACCTGTTCAGAAAAAAAGGCAGGTGGGATCTTCAAACAAACAGTCGTGGTCATCTCTGGATTATCATTTCACAAAAGAGATACATTAATTTGATTGTGGGTTGTAGGATTTACCAGTTCCTGAAGAGGCTTTGAGACCTGACTCTCCTTTTGAATCCACTGACCATACCTCAGTGCAGTCTGCAGGATTGCATGGGAGAGAGGTGGCAAATGTCAGAAAGCTCAGGGTTATTGTTATCCACTCATATACCAGGGTTATAACTGGAGCTGTGCATACCCAGCTGTGGTCAGAGCAGCATTCAGAACAAAAGACAGAGCCATGCTGACAGTGCAGCACGCTGAGTCTTTAAAATTAAAAATATAATTAGCTCTCCTGAGAGCCTAGGCAGCTAATCTGATTTCAGCCTGCACACAGAAAGCATCAACAACAGGTGAGTATTGCCTAGCACATGGCAGACTTCCCTCAGCCTGCTCATGTTTACAGGGGGAATGGGGTTAGCCCACCTTTTGGGCACACAAGGTATCTCGCAGCAAAACTTCTTCCATTTATTTTTTTTTCCCTGGGCTTACACTAGACTTTGACTAGTGTGGAAGAGACCGGGAGCAGGTTCACCAGATACTCAGTGCACATTGCTCTTTGGCATTCACACTTATTCTAGAAGGTGTTTAACCCAGCACTAAATTTATCTTTAGTGTAATGTAAATTGCCTGAAGTGCAAAAATGAAACTTATACACACTAAACCAAAACAAATACAGCTTTGATTTTCTTTTATAGGTTGAACAGCTAAAATGGGATATGTGGGATCACTTTGTCCCATTATTTTAAGCAGTCCTTTTGAAGGCCAAACCTAAGGCATTTATAACCACAATTTGGGTTCTTGTCCCAAGTAATGTGGGACAGATAAATTGTATTGCGTGTACTTCCAAGAAAAGCACTTGGATTGTATGTTGAACTTATCCATCTCATCAGTAATATTAGGACTTCAACTTGGCCAGTTTCATTGTGATTTATTTCCTTTTACAGCATGGTTTCTACAATGCTGAGCATCTGACGTACCTTACAGAGCCTGTGAGCTATTTTTGCAGTTCATACACATTTGAGCTACATTAATAATGGCTCACTCTTTACCTTCAGGCATGCATGCCCAGGAAAGCATATCATGTTGCTATTTTAATACAGAGGTCTTGCCCTTTTCTGACTGAGTAATGCATGAATAGAACACTTCGGCTGCTGGTACAATTTCTTTTACCGTGTTCTTAAACACATTCTGCATGCAGTTTATTCCGTTTGTTCAATGGTATCAGCATACATATAAACACTGAAAGAGTAGGAATTGCCAGTAAGTGTATGAGCACACACTGTAGTTAACCTGCATAATGTATAGCAGATAACTTTAATATATATAGTGAGACTAAAAATCATATTGTTTCAGCAGAAGGTCTCTAAAATTTAGCCCTCTCCCCTCTTCATTTTAAGGTATCTCCAAGTCTAGACTCCAATTGGGGTTTTTTTATTACATGAATCTCAAACTGATTCTGGCCTCCCAGCTGATTCAATCACTCATTATTCCCCTGCATCCACTGTACATTAATCAGGTTAGAGATCCTTCCTCTATGATATGTGAGTATGCAATTTGAGGCATCCAAAACCCCAGGTAGAACCATGATAAGATTCCTTCTCACTGTGGTGGTAGAGTTGGGGAAGGCAGAACAACTTGAATAACCCGGACTGTTTTGGACAGAAGCCCGGTGAGAGCAAGAGCCCGTGCAGGGCCCCAGTGCACAGGGCCTCAGAGCAGCTCATGGCACATCCCCGTGCGCTGCCTGGACCAGCTGAATTGGTTTGAAACTTCGGCTGCCAAGAGGAAATGTCTCAGAGCAGGAGAGGGCGCCAGACAACAAGGAGCAAGTGCTGGCTTGGTGCGTCTGGGAGCGCAGACCTGCCTCTGACCGGCACAAGGGCGCCGGGTGACAACCCTCCCTTTGAGGGGAAGGGAGCACTTCAGCTTCCAAAATGCTCATTGGTCGAAAGGAGTGGCGAAAATCCGAGAGTACACAAACAGAGAGTTTTACTAGCAAATTACACAGCTGATGTGCAAATTGGTATGTTAGTCCTAGACCTGCTATACAGGTACAGGGTATTGGGTTTTGGGTAAAGGGGTAGGGTGAAGGGAAAAGAAAAATCAGGCATATGACAGTGGGTTTTGGATACAGAGGGAGGGTGGCAGGGAAAAGAGAAATTAAAGAGGTTAATTTAAAAAGGAAAGATTAATTTTTTAAAAGGAAAAAAGAAACAGAAAGGGAAACAAAAAGAGAGATTAAAAGGCATCTTTAGCCCTTGTTCCAGGGTCGATCCAGCTGATAAGATGCCTATGCTTGTTTCAGTATCAATCCAGCTGGTAAGTGGTGGTTCAGCTGAGCCAGTCCAGCTGATGACATATCCAGGCTCTGGGGGCACCATGTGGGCTTGGATGAATACCCTTTTATTGACAAGTTTCTCCACCCCAAGACATGTTTCTCATTTTCCACGTTAATTAATTATCATGCAGTCTGCTCTTTTAGGCCTTTCTGGAAATGGGTCAGAGGGCTTCTGTAGTCTTTGGTGG